CCTTCCGACCGCCAGCCGCAAGTCAGATAACTTCAGAGGCACTCTGCAGCGTGCTCAAAGCTCTTCGACTTGGGCGGAAGTCGCGCGGAATTTCAAAGGGCCAGCGAGCCAATTACTAGCCGCCACGTGTGAATAATTTAGCACTGGCCAATAGCAGGGCACAAATTTGCATCCGAATAGCGGGAACTCTTTGCACCGTGCATCTCTGTGCTGCAAAGAAGAAATGCATCCTGCAAAGGAAACTGCAAATTGGCAGGCTCAATTGCAGCAGAACACTCTGCTGTGCAAAGGAGCTCTCATGTGGCCAGGAAATTCCATAGTGCCGAGGCACCAAAAAATCACTGGGTTGTGACACTAACTTTTTGGATCAGAAAAATGTGGTTAACTTATACACCGTTTTGACCCGTGCACAGTGAAATATGGTAGTTCCAAAATGATTAAATGATAGTAATATAACAAATTGATACTCTGCTTAATTGCAGCATTATGTCCTTAAAACATAATCTTAATAATTTTGACAGCAATAGTGAAGTGAACTACCTTAAAATTATTTAGATAACCTGTGAACTTCTTCAGTAAAGTTGATTATTTTCATCAGTTTTATTTCAAACAAAGTGACGCTGTGGCACTGATAATGGGGATCGGATACAGGAGAAAAGAACATCATGTTTTCTAATTACCTATTTTTTGTACTATGTTGCTACTGATTGTGGCTTTGTGTTTGACTGGAACATTCAGTGGATTTTAAACATGCTGGATAATTAGATTGCATTTCACTCAAACTGTACTGGTTTTATGCAGAGTTAAGCAAGCTAAAAAATTCCTAACACTTGCACTTTTCTGGAAATAAAACCATAAAAACCTTCACTTTTGTAGTGCCTTCAAGCATGGACAAACAGATGTACAGTCAGTGCGGAACATTTAAAAATATTTCAAAAGTACATTTTCATTTCTTTCCTTCTTTTCCTTTGTGCTACATTTCACCTCACATCAGGGCCCTGGGACAATTTCCTTCTTTACCTGATAGTTTTGTATCACAATTTCAGGATATCATTTTTATTTTGCCTTTTTTCTGTGCTGCATAGAATCTTCTCCCATCTATCCTTCTTTTTCTATGTGAATGTTAAGACCAAGATTTTTTAAGTGTGAGCCTAAAGAAAAACTCACTTGCTTAGGTACCAAATGAATGACGTAGTTTCAATGGGAACTACTGGATGGATTTTTGTCCAAATTAGGACATTTAATTTAGATGCATAATTAAGGACTCAGCCTAGAGAGGTCCAAACCCCTACTAAAGTTTAAAAAAAGAAAAAAAAAAGTAATTATCGAAGACTTGGGATCAGACCTACAGTGATTCTCTGGGATTGGCAATACCAGTCAATTTTACTCCATTGTTATAGTCTTCATAGTCTAAACAGGTAGGATGGAATTCAATTTCTCTTCGAGCATATAAGTGGCATTAGTTTAACTGCGTAAGTGCTTTATATACACTCACAGAAGAAACAAGCCCCAGACCCAAGAGAGATCTACTTTGAAACCTGGAAGTTCTCCCCTGCACAAGTTTTTCATGCCAGAGTGAATGGCTTACATTTCTGCTTGACTTATCTCAATGACAGGAATCAAGCATCAGCTCTCCCTGTGCCTTCCACAGACTGGGAACTCCATTATGGGGATTGTTGGGGGGTATTTTTTTAAAGTTTGACTCTTCCCATGATTGGGAGAAGTCATGCTGTAGCTTTCCTTGTACCTTCCCCAAACTGGGGACCGGGGACCCAATTAGATCACAGTGCTGGGAAGTCAGAGATACAGGTACAAACTATTGCTGGGATAAGAAGGCCTTGGTCCCAGGTTTCTGTCTTCCTGGGTAGATGTTCTAACCACTCAGAAATCGGGATTAAAATACAAATAGTCCCTTCTACTTCCTCCCCATTACAAACTTTTTTTTCTAGAACTTGCATATGTTATAGATCATCCAAAGTGCAAAGTGTAGACCTAAAATAACCAGGAAGAATGCTAGAAGACTGTCAGTTAGATGCATAAGGGCCTAAGGAATAATATAAACAAGCGTACAGTGAAAAGTCAACTTTTCATTGCCCACTATTCCATTTTATTAAATTTGGTTGTGCACCTTAAATGCACTAGCATTCCTGTGGGTGGGACTAGACAAATTGGGTGTTTGTAAAACAGCTTATTATGTTGATCATATGTTATTTATTTGGTCTAATTTTCAATGAAGAATGACTAACTAAAACATGTAATGTTGTTCTACATCATATAGGTAATAACACAGGCCAGTGGGAGTGTTTCTCACCACACAATCCATACGCAGCCAGTGGGAAGGCAGTTTGATAGAGTGGATGACTTTTTCATTCCTAGTACAACCCTCATCATTACCCATATAAGGTAAGTTTCAGCTGAGCCATAATATTTTTGTAATTAACTTGCAACTGAACTGTGATATCCTACCTAAAATATATATTGTATGGGAAAACAAAAATAAACCAACAGTAAGCTAACAACTAGGTCCATGTTATAAAATTTTACTCTGTGGGGCAGTTTCAATTAGAGCTTTGTGTTAAAAACTATTTTTTTTTGTACTCTGGTCATGGACTACAGTTTTCTGCCTAATCTTGGTATGTGCTGGAAACCTCCATTGATGTCAATACCTGAACAAGATATTCCACATCCGAAATAAGCGTGAGATTGCATGCATTTTTAAGTGTTGAAGTTTGTGAAGTTTGGATGCTCCCCTATATGTGGGAAACCTGGATTTTGGTTTAGTAACATGCATGCATTGTTCATATATCCCAAAATGGTATTAATCATATGGAATTTGGTCTTCGATGGTAGCTGGTGATCATCTTTTTTGGTATTGTTGAATACATGAGCTAGGTACAGACAGTCAAAAAGCCAGAAGCTGAATCAATTCAGTCTTTGCAGGTTAGTCTAAACTGTGTAGATTGAACCAAGCAGCAAGTGAACAGATATCCATGTCTGATTCCAAAAATGCAGCCACATGCCTGCAGTGGCTCAGGCCAGAACCTAGGAGGCTCTGGAGCACACCTCGCAGCCACTGACAAAGGAAGGGAGAAGAGGAAGCCTCGAAGGCTGTCTACCCCTCCCTGCTCAAGTGGAGGGGGTGTGGCCAGGCCCCAGCCTGGGGTCAGCATGCTGTGGCCAAGGAGGCTTTAAACTTCCTCCCTGGCTCGTATGGGACCCCAGCCTGGGTCTGTTGCAGGGGGGCATCCCTGCCAGGCATATCCCCTGCTCCCTATTCCCAGCTCAGACCAGCAGGCTGAGATGGGGGTGGGGGGTTTCCCTGGTCTTCCTGCTGTGGGGGTCACAGTCCCAGGCCCAGCTTTTGCCCACCTTGCAAGGAGCAGGGGGTGTGGTCCAGCCTCCGCCTAGGGCTCACACACTGAGGCAGGGACGGAGGGGGCATAAACCCTCCCACTCCTGCATGGGACACCATCTGAGGTCTGACAGGGGGCAGCCCCTGCCAGGCTTTTGCCCCTCAGCTCGAGCAGAGATCAGGGTACCTGGCTGGATCCCAGCATGGAATTGGCACTCTGAGGTGAGAGAGGGGGTTTTAAACCTAGGCATGCTCAGGACCCCAGCCCCAATCTGGTAGGGGGACAGCCCCTGCCAGGCTTCTGTCCTCTGCTCCCTGCTTAAGGGGAGGCACAGTCCATGCCAGGGTTTTGCCCCCGCCTCCCCCAACCTTGGGTGGAGAGCGAGGGGTGTGGTCACACCCCAGCCAGGGGATCACAGGCTGAGGTGGGGAGGGAGAAGGTTCAAACACCCTCCCTGACCCCAAACCCCAGCTCGAGTTTACCTGGGGGAGGGCAGCACCCACCAGGCTTTTGCCCCCCTCCAGGTATTCACTCTAGTGGAGCGGGGGGCATAGCCACATCCCACCTCAGGGTTCCCACGCTCAGGTGGGAAGGGAGCAGGGTTTAAACCCTGTCCTTCCCTGCCTCAGCAAGCCAGCCCCAGGCCAGGGCATGCCCCCCCCCCCGCAGATTTCTGTTCAAGTGAGGGAGAAAACCCCAGCAAGGGCTGCCCTCTCACCCCCTCAAGTGGGGGGGGGGGCAAAAGCATGGTAGGGGTTCCCCCCCACCCACTAGACAAACCCTGGCTGGGGTCTGGAACCAGGGAGGGGTTTAAACACCACCCCCACCAACACAGGACCCTGGCTAGTGTCTGCCTGGCAGGAGCGAAGCAGCTCCTGCCCGACTTTTCCTCTGCTCTCTGCTTGAGTGGAGGAGTGGGCAGCATGGCCAAATGCCAGCCAGGACATCATGCTAAGGCAGAGGGGAGGGAAGAGGGGGTCAGGTCAGCACTCTGAGGTACAGGGGAGGGTGCAGAGTTTAAATCCTCCTCCCCACCATGTGCTTCAGTGTGCTGGCCTGGCTGTCATCTGGCCATGCCATGCCCTCCACGCCTCAGCTTGAGCAGAAAGCAGGGGAAGAGGCAGGCAGGGGTTGCTTTGTCTCTGCTAGACAGAATCCAGCTGGGGTCCCATGCAGGTGGAGCGGGTTAAGCCCCCTTTTCCCTCCTCTGTCTCAGCCTGCCAGCCTGGCCAGTGTCTGGCTATGGCCCCCCTTGGAGCAGACAGCAAAGCCCAGGGCTGCAAAGCATCCTCAGGATCTGTGAATTAACTTGGACCGGGAAGGGGTCTGGGACAGAAGTTCTGTAAACTGGTTTGGCCTAAATCAGTTCAATCTGATACTACATCCAACCAAACCAGATTAATCTTAAACCAGTTTTGGAGATTTTGAAAGTGGTTTAAGTGCACTGAACCTCTGTTTCTTTACATAAAATCATAGAAATTAAGGGCTGGAAGGAACCTCAAAAGATCATTGAGTTCTACCCTGCTGCTCTGGGCAGGAATACTGCTGAGTTCAAATGATCCTAGCAAGGGTTTGTCCAGTCTCCTCTTGAAGACTTCCAAGGTTGGGGACTGCACCACTCCTGTGGAAGTCTATTCCAGATTCTGGTCACCGTTACTCTAAAGAAGTTCTTCCTTACATCCAATCTGAAACCATCCTCCAGCAGTTTATGCCATTGCTCCTTGTCCTCCCTTGGGGTGCCATAGTGAACAGTTTTTCTCCCAGCTCCCAATATTCACCCCTTACATACTTACAGATGGCCACCAAGTCCCCCCTCAGTCTTCTTTTCCCCAGGCTAACAGTCCCAGATCCCTTAGTTTTTCCTCATAAGGTTTGTCCTCCAGGCCCTTAATCATTCTTGTGGCCCTTCTCTAGACCCTTTCAAGTTTCTCCACATCTTTTTTTGAAGTGTGGTGACCAGAACTGGACACAATACTCCAGCTGGGGTCTCACCAGTTTTAAACCAGTTTCTGATCATCACTTAAACCAGTTTATCTGTAACTTCTGTCCCTTGCCATGACGTATGATTGGTTTTCTTCATAAACACTCACAAATTCATGTGTTTGAACTCTCATAAATTAATCTGTATAGTGAGTTTCTTGCTGCCTCTTCATGACAAAATCATTTTAAATATATAGACTGCTTTCAGAAGTTAACCCCTCCCCCCCAACGCTTTACCAGAACAAGCAGCGCCTTAGTTTAACCTGTAGCATCTGTATCGATGTGGCACTTCAGCAGGGCTTTTTGGCACTTTTATGTAAAACTAATTCAAGCCCCCAGAGCACCTGTGTGCTTTCTCCACTTGCAGAGAGGCACCTGAAGCAATGAGTAAGGAAATCGGGAAACCCCTCTCAGCCAGATCCACTCCTACATGATCCTGGAAAAGCAGGTCTGGTTGAGTGGTAAGGGCTTGTCCCTGTGCAACCAGACCTGGGGCATGGGTGGGGGAAAATCCCCATTTCCCCCGGTTGGTTAGACGCATGCTCTGGGTCTGGCTGGGTGCGGAAAAGTCCCTCTTTCCCCACTCAGACCATCTCTGCTTATCACCAAGGACTCAGTTTAGCTCACTTTGGAAAGAGGGAAGATCATATTGACTCTTGACCAATACCACCAAAGGCAAGACAAGGGGTGTTATATGTTTTGCCTAGTGAAGCAGATAAGTTGTGCTGTGACACATTGCCACTTCATTTGGTGACATCTATTTCTAGTTTAAGATGTTTCAATATGAACTTCTTACAATCTGAATCAGTAGAGGTAGTTAATTTCATGGGCCTTGGATTTTTCTCTGAATGAATGTAATATGTAATAACCCACCAACAAATCACTAGACCATATAAATTCCATGAACACTGCCTATTTGTTTCAGCAAATATACAAGCTTTCCCTGTAACAGAAGTATACCAGTTATGAGAGAAAGTGCCAACTGGATTTAGAAAGAAATAGGTCACAGAGAGAGAAGAAAGAGAGATTTTTGAGGAAAGGAGAGCAATATTTGAATACAAGAAATAATCTCTCTGTCCTGTTTCTAATATATTGCCAGTCATTCCTTTCTACCCATGCCTAGAGGAAAGAGCTGAATCATTATCAAATGCTGTAAGCAATAGTATATGTACAAATATTAGTCAGTTTTAAGGCTAAACCATTTGTCCTTCTTCATACTGTATTTGCAGGTGTGTTGAAAAGGCTAATTCTTTCGTAATTTCTAACAGCAGTCACTGCTGCTGCAGTTTATTGCAGATAAGAAGTTCAGTCCATATTCAGGGATTCCTACCATTTCTGTAAATTCTATGGGGGAATTCTGTACGCCCAAGGAATGCTTCTTTGCTTTTACTATTGCACAAGATGCAAATAATTCACCTGTTTAGTACTCTGATTCTCAAAGATTTTTGAAATTTCCACAGAACTGTGTTAATTAGGGTTATCTTTTTTATTTAGAAGCCATCCTTTTTCACTCTAAAGAGAACTGCTCTTAAAATCTCAAATCACAGTTTTCTCCCCCTTAAATTATATTTACAAATTTAGCAATAGTTTTCTTTTTATATATATGAAAATCAGCAGTTCTCATCAGGAGTATTTGCCAACATCTGAATTATGAATGAGTTGTGTTAACATTTACAAAACTAAAAACGCCGTGATACCATTGATAAATCCAGTTCTTTAAAAACAGAAAGCAACCTTGCCATTCTCCTGAGGATGCTCTTGCATTGAAAGGTAAAATGCTTAATTTTTGGCATAATTCCTAGCTAACAAGTAAATTGTCAGGCAGTCGTATGTAAATGAAAACATATAGGGAAATGTAAATTAGTGTATTTGAATAATAAATTGTGATTCTGACTACAATTACTATGCATATATTTCTTTTAATTAAATAGATGAGTATGCACCATAGCCCTGAAATAGTGTGCAAACAGTCCTTATCTTCATGCTTAGAAAATCATTAAACCAGAGGTGTTAAATTTGAAATAGCTGTGCACTGCAAGAATGCTGGCTATTACCTTTAAAATGGCAATC